GAGACCTTTCATTTGATACCCCACATGCCTATATTTGAAGTAAAACTTTCTGACCTAAGTTTGTCTTCGGGTTCTGCAACCCATAGGTTGACTTTTTATTATATCTCTTGTAACTTTTAAATGGTTTGACCGAAGTAAATGCTAGATTTTATTGTGAAAAACATTGTCTAGTATAGTAACACTAAACAGTAACTTAGAATGCTTTAAACGGCAAAAAATGATATTTGGAATTAGTTAAATTATGTGTATAGAAGCTTATAGGTTTTTTTTAAGGTTTGTTATTAGTACATTTGGATAAAGCTTGTCGAGACTTTTCATTTGATACCCCATATGCCTATATTTGAAGTGAAACTCTTTAACTTATATTTAACTCCCAATTCTGCAACCCATTGGTCTACCTTTTATTAAATCACTCGTAACTTTTGAACCGTTGGCATATGATATTCGGCAAATTTGTTTTAAATTTTAATATCTATAAAATGGTCTAGTACAGTGAAACTCTACAGCAACTTGATATACTTTAAACTAACAAAAATAGACATCAGAACCTGAGTGAATGTCATGTACGGAACCTTTCAGGCTTGTAACGAGTATGTTACTATGATATTTAGATTGTACTCGTCGAGACCTTTCATTTGATACCCAACATGCCCATGTTTGAAGTAAAACTTCTTAACGCGCATTTGACCCGCTGTACTATTTGTAGTACAGCAACTCGTTTGTGTGCATTTATTTATTAAATCTCTTGTAACTTTTGAACGGTTTGCCCAAACTGAACGCAAAATTCGGCAAATTTGTTCAAAATTAAATAATCTACAATATTGTTTTGTACCACAAAGCTCTACAGCAACTCGGTATACTTTAAAATAGCACTTAAATACTCAATTACAAAATTACACTAGTTTCCATACAAAATTCAACATTTTCTAAGACTTCACACATATTGCGCACGATGACATATTGCATTGGAACGCAGTATACCGAGTGTACTTTTGTTTCAACTCATATAACTTCTAAACCATTCGGCTGATATGAATGATGTCTTCGGGAAATTTATGCAAAATTAAACAGTCTACAATATTGCTTATACCACAATGCTCTACAGCAACTCGGTATACTCTAAAATGCATTTGAAAGTGTACAACTTTGCTTCCGCCATTATTTTGGAGGACTCGCCTTATCAAATCCGGCGGAAGCAAAGTTGTATATTTAATATTGATATTGTTTTGTTTCGTCGCTTGTAACTTCTAAACCATTCGATTGATATGAATGATGTCTTCGGGAAATTAGTTCAAAATTAAATTATCTAAAATATTGTCTTTTACCCCAATGCTCTACAGCAACTCGGTATACTTTAAAATTGCAATAAATCAACCCTTGATATGTTTTTAATGTTTGTTTTGATTTAAACACATATTTTATTCCCTTATAAAATTATTTAGCATCCCTTATCGACCCACTTTACTCACGGTGGGTTGCAGTAATCTATTTTTAATGACGTCATATGGGTTGGGTTACTTTGGGGTTGGTAATTCGGGTATAGAAAGGTCATGGACCTTTGATTAAACCTCAACCCTTAAATTGAAGACTATTGGGCCGATTCTCGGTTTCAATTTTACGACAAGTTCACACTTATGTCGTTTAAAATGTCATTATAAGTGTAACAGTTATTCTCGGCGGTATGTGTTTTATCATATGATTAATGACATTAATGTTACGCTGACCCTCTGAAAATAAACGTAGTCAGAAACTCGCACTTATCGCTATAACATTGACGAGAAGTTGTACTATGAACAGATTTGACATTTGCTATTTTGACATTTATGCGTTTAACATGCTTCTTTGAGGTTATTGTTAATGTAAGCAAAGTGATATTATTAGGTTTGGTTTAGATTTTATTGTGAATTTCAAATTGTTAATATGGCGTTTTTTGGAATAATTTGGGCAGCAGATAGTAGGAGAAGAAGGTATGTTTGAATTTTAATATAATTCATACTGTTATTGTAATGAATGTATTACTCAAAAGTATTAAAATTATTAAATGCCACAACATTTTAGATACAGGCAAAGATACGCCCTTAGGTATCTCAGAGATGCAGATAAAATATGGGAAGTGAGTGATGAAATTTTTATAAAAAAATTTCGATTAACGAAAAATGTTATGAAAGATTTAATAGAACTGTTGGAACCACATGCGGAGACTCATACAGCATCATGGAGTATCCCTTTTTATTTGCAGGTATTGGAAATTAAAATGAATTAATTTTTTTGAAATACTAATAACTGAAATTTCATTATAGGTACTTGCAGCGCTTCATTTTTTTGGTCATGGCTCATATCAGACTGATGTAGGCAATTGCCATTTAAATTCTATGAGCCAGCCTTCAGTCAGTCGCTGCATTAAAACAGTGACTGATTTAATTATAAAGCATGCTACACCAAAGTATGTGAATTTTCCTAAAACCTTATCAGAAAGAGATGAAAATAAAAAGAGGTATATGTTACACCACTTCGTGTACATTGAACATGGTCTGTAATATGTTGCTATTTAACAGATTTTATACGAAGTTTGGCATGCCTGGCATTATTGGGTGCATAGACTGCACACACATAAGTATAGTGGCTCCCAAAAAAGATCACCCCGTGGCACCAGCTGCTATTTATATGAATAGGAAGGGCTATTACTCAATTAATATTGAAGTAGTAAGTATTATTTTATTTTGCTTAAGAATTTTGAAGACTAACATGATAATAAATAATATTAGATATGTGATGCCGATGAACGGATATTGTTTGCGAGCAGCAGATATCCTGGCTCCACTCATGATGCAGCCATTTGGAAGGTTTCGACAGTCAGAGCCCTGCTAAATCATAATGCTGATGATGGGACATATTTATTGGGCAATTCAAGAATATATTTAATATCGCAAATCAAATAAGGAAAAAAATATATATTAGTTGTACATTTGCAGGAGATTCAGGTTACCCTTTGGAACATTGCCTACTCACACCATATAGGACGCCAGTAGGCTCTACCCAGGAGAAATACAATAAGTTCCACAAAAAGACTCGCAATGTAATAGAGAGAACATTTGGTGTTGTTAAAAGTCGTTTTCGATGTTTGCATCGTCACAGGACACTGCATTATACACCTGATGTGGCAGGAAAAATTGTGTATGCAGTATTTACTCTGCATAATATATGCAGAGTAAATAATATTCCTCTGGATGAAGAACTGACGGAATATAGTGATGATTTTGGAAACGGTTAGATACCAAATAATTGTATTTCAAATGTGTAGTTAAAATTAATTGATTTAAATATTTCAGAAGTATACAATGAGGCAGATAATATGGCATATAACATCAGAAATTCTTATGCCAGAAGATATTTTTAATACCATAACATTCACTTAAAAAAAAAGATTGTATTTTTATAGCTACATAAATGTAATTATTTTAAATAAATAAATAAATATATATATATATATATATATTAATTGTTTAATATGAACAAAACAGCACTCAGATTTGTTTAACACAACTTTATTTTATGATTACAGACGTTTCGAGACCATGGTGTGTCTCATCTTCAGTGTAATTTCAAAAACAGTTACTTATATACTACACATTCTTTAATAATTTATTTAAATTTCATTTAATTTTTGATATACAAAAAACACCAACTATTCCTTGCAATGCTTGACACAGTACTAAAGAAACATATAACACTTACAGAAATATTCTAAACAAATTTGAAGTACTTATATAGATGGAGACAGAGAGGGTATCATTATAATGTAAACAGAAGGAGTGCTATCGCATACAAAATCGATAAAAATGAAAAAACAAATTAATTTATTGAAAAGAATAAGATAAATGAAAAAATTTATAAATTATTAATGATGTTTATATAAGTGTCATGTAAAATATTTGTGTCGGTTCTTAGATTTATGCTATTGTTAGTCCGAACTATTAACATTGATTCTGCTATGCTCCGTTTAAATAAGTCTTTCTCATGGAATAAAATTTGGGGATTGTCAAAATCAAACTTATGGTTGTTGATATTAGCATGATCCACAAGTGTACTTTTAAATTTTTTGTTATCTATTTTTTCACATTGTAATTCATGTTGCCTGAGTCTCTTTTCTAAGTTCTGGCAGGTCTGGCCAATATAAGAGCAATTGCAATCCAAACAATTTACTTTATAAACTATATCTTTCTTTTTTGTTAATGGAGTTTCATCTTTAATTTTGGAATATAAAAATTTTAATTGTTTTAATGGAGAAAAAGTAATACGAATATTGTGTTTTTTGAAAAGTCTTTTTGATAATTGGTTAAAATTATTGTCAAGATATGGAAAATTAATGAAAAAAGTTTTTTCAGGAACACTTGTTTTGCCAGGCTCTTCCGGTTTCTTATCAAAAGGTTCAAGTAATTTTGCGACTCTATTTTTAATAATTGGACAAATTAACTTATATGGAAAATTATTGCCAAGTAGGATCGTTTTAACTAATTTTATGTTTGTATCATAAAACAGGGGATCAGATAATAAAATAGCGTGATCTACAAGATTTAGAATGGTAGAAATTTTTATATTGAGAGGAACATGCGAATTAAAATTAATGTATCTCCCGGACCAACTATCTTTTCTGTACCAGTCTGTATAACATACACCGCCTCTATTAATGAGTTTTACGTCAAGAAAATGTATCGTCGAATCATTTTCAAGTTCCTGAGTGAATTGTAAAAAAGAATTGTACTCATTGAATTTGTTGAAAACATTATCTATATCTTTTTTATTAAGTAATATTAATGTGTCATCGACATATCTGAAATAGACCATAGGTTTGGAAGGTAAAGAATTTAAGACATGATTTTCCAAATCTTGTAATACTAAATCCGCCAAAACAGGACTTAATGGGCTGCCCATTGGACAACCTCTCTTCATCGTATAATATTTTTTATTAAAAGTGAAATATGATGCTTTTAAAAGTAATTCTATTCCTGAAATAAAAATTTCCATTGGTAAACAAGTGAATTCAACTATTTGTATCCATCTTTTCTTTATGGCTGTAATAATTAGATCATGCGGAAGATTATTAAATAAATTAATGACGTCAAGACTCATAAAGGAACAATCAGGAGGAACTTCTGTTTACATTATAATGATACCCCTCTGTCTCCATCTATATAAGTACTTCAAATTTGTTTAGAATATTTCTGTAAGTGTTATATGTTTCTTTAGTACGGTGTCAAGCATTGCAAGGAATAGTTGGTGTTTTTTGTATACCAAAAATTAAATGAAATTTAAATAAATTATTAAAGAATGTGTAGTATATAAGTAACTGTTTTTGAAATTACACTGAAGATGAGACACACCATGGTCTCGAAACGTCTGTAATCATAAAATAAAGTTGTGTTAAACAAATCTGAGTGCTGTTTTGTTCATATTAAACAATTAATATTCGTTCCACTCATATCATAAAATTCTATATATATATATATATATATATATATATATATATATAAAGGAATAAAAAACAAAATTTATTGGCTGTTAAATTTATTTTTTAATGTATTATTGAGAATTTTCAATTGATCAGCTATGCATTGCAGCGCCTCTGTCTGTTTCTCCATCATGTTAGTAAGAGACTCTGTTTGTCTTTTCAATACGTATTCCATTGAGTTTACGAGGTGATTTAATTCATCTTAAAATAATAAAATGCAGAATGTATCACATAGTAATATAAGTAATATTTAAAATAGAAGAAAAATTATACTTACTATTGCCAGAAGTTCTTCGTCTCTGCATTGGTGGTCTAGGGGCATCATCTAAAAATTCTGGAGGTGGCATTATATCTTCTACCTCAGGATCAACATTAACAGAATCAAGTTCAGCCTCGTTGCTGACAGATTTTTCGATAGGATACTATTAAAGAATTTAATATGTGTATATGTATATATACATATATATAATGAAATTACATTTAGTCCAATATCCATTTCCAGATCTGGATGGCCATCAATTGACCCTAGACCCCAAACACCTAAGGCCTTTTGTTCGACCTCTGTCAAGCAATTGGTTAATGCAGGCCCACCTCCTGTTGCTAAAGTATGAGCTTTTTGTTTCCTTGCTTTGGCTTTTGTCTGGTTTTTCTAACCCGCAAATATCTATATCAATTTAATAACATATGAATTATCATTTTCAAAAATAAAACATACTAGCAACAAAAACTTTTACCTTCATCCAGGATTCAGTAGGCCTATTAGGCCCATGACCACATGAGTTTAACAAATTGGTCAATTCCTCCCACTTTGCACTGAAATAATCCTTGTCGAACGAGGGGCTTAATTTATTAGCAACGAATTGTGGGTTGCTGATTAAAAAATCAACATATATTTTGTACTGCGCCGGATTAGTTTTTTTGGCTCTTTTCATTTGCGTATCACTGGCCATTTTGTATGTAAAATATATTTATCTAAAAAAATCGTGAACGCTTTTTGACTGGAAGTCCAGTACAAGTATATCCAAAATTGAAAAAACCGTTCGCGTCAGCACCGTAGAGATAGATTATTGCCGATTTCGAGAGTACAAACACAGAGAGCCAACATCAAAAAACCAAAATCTTTGTTCGCTCATGTTACGCCATAACACGATTCATTCTCATAAAATTGGTGCGCCGAGAATAACAAATCTTTAACATACACTTACGCGAGGCATGTCATGCTAACATGCAAGTGTGGTAACAGAGCGTAGCCATGTTAAGGCAGAATCGGTCTATATGTTTTGGTTTGAGATTTATTATTTTTTATTTGTATGTTAAGAAAAATTTGTTGGTTTTTCTCGCATTTTTGTTCTAGAAGTTATCAATTATACATATATATATATATATATATATATATATTATATATATAATATATATATATTGATTGTTTCTTTTCGGAACAGTAAATCCAATAATAAAAAACAATTTGTTTTTTGAAGATGTTTAATACGACGTTTCGGAACTAGGTACGTTCCATCATCAGGTTTATTCTGTCAAATACAATGTTTTTTAAAATACTGATTAACATTAATTAACAATGGTCAATACAGATTAATTAGAAAAAAATTTTGTTATAAAGGAATGGATTATGTACCGGATAGATAGTAATAAGACTTAACTAAAAAGGGTTTTATATAAAATTGAGAAGCAAAAATTATTTACCTGTAATAATTTATATATCCATATCACTAATATTTTTTGTTAAAAACACTCGATTTTTTTGGAAGATATTTGTAGATGTTACGACTACACAAGACTTAAACACACTGATATGGATTTCTGTCTGCCAGATGTAAAGGACAAAGCACGGAACTCTTGGCAAAAATGATTTTTTATGGCTCTTGTTTGGTAATTTACGAAAAAAGGAAAAATATTGCTTTAGTAAATGTTGAGAAATATTATGTATATATATATATATATATATACATACATACATGAACATGTATATGCACACCTACATACTCATACATACATATGCACATATCTATATATTAATGTATCCACAATTATACACATGAACACATATGCAAGTGTATGTGTATAGTGTATACCCAAAAACATACACATAAGCATATATATGGATGTACATATATTATAACATATATACATGTATATATATACACATATTCAAAAACTATTAGGATTAATTATTTTTAATCAGGTTTAAAAAATTTAAATATGAGTCATGAATGATATTGTGATCTGATCTTTTATTAACACTTTTTGACGAATTCAAAAAGATTAAACTGCTTTCAGAAAAAAGTCTTTTAAAAGTACAATCCTCTCTATATAAAATATTGGGTTCAAAGGTGAAATTATGTGAGTTTTCGATGGAATGCTGAACAAGAGTACTTTGGAAATTTCGGCTTTTATGATGAGTGACGCTTAATTCATGTTGTCTCATTCTCTTATGAATGTACTGTGATGTTTGGCCAATGTATTGTTTTTGACAATTTTTGCAAGGGATGGAATAAACTATGTTAGTATTGAATTTAGGAGGGGTGGTGGATTTAATTTTTGAAAACATTTCTTTAAAAGAATATAGAGCTGTTCCTGAAATGAAAATATTTTCTTCTTTGAGTAATTTGGCAAAATAATCAAATAAGCCTTCAATGTAAGGCATGCTGTGAAAAGTTGGTTTAATATTGTTGTCTTGGAATAACTTGGAGATGGATTGATAATTGTTACTTTTATGATAGGAAAGTCTTTTATTGGTAATGGAATTGATGAGGGTGAGGGGATATCCGTTTTCTAATAAAGTTTTAGTTACTAATGTTGTATTTTGGGTATGAAAAGAAGAGTGAGACAACATGATTGCGTGGTCTATCAAAGAAATGATTGTATTGACTTTATAATTTTTGGGACAATATGACGCGTAATGAAGGTATCTCCCGGACCATGTAGTTTTTCTGTACCAATTTGTGCAAATAATGTTGTCAATTTTGTGTACAGTCACGTCTAAAAAGTTTAATTTGTTGTCGATTTGTGTTTCATGTGTGAACTGAATGCTCTTATTGTAATTGTTAAAGGTATCGATTATTATATCTGATTGTTCTTTGTCTATTATAAAAAAAGTGTCATCTACATATCTAACGTAAAAATATATTTGGAAATTTAATGTGGAAAAAACGGAAATTTCAAGGGTTTGTAAAACTAGGTCTATGATGCCAGGGGATAATGGGCAACCCATAGCAGTACCTTTGATTTGTAGATAAAAATTATTGAAACAATTAAAATAAGAGCAATTCAGGACAGTGTTAATGATGTGTTTGAAAGTGGTTATGGGCAAGTCGGTGTAGTTACAAATAGTGGGCCAGCGTTTTTCAATTGAATCAAGTATTAAATCATGGGGAACACATGTGAAAAGGTTAATTACATCAAGGCTTAGAAAAATTTGATCGTCCGTAATGTTTCGGTCTTTGATTAGATCCACAAATTGGTAAGAGTTCTTTACATAGTGAGGAGAGGAAATTGTGACATTTTTTAAAATATTAGCAATGTGTTTAGCGATATTATAGAATGGGGAGCCAACGTAGGATACAATGGGTCTAAAGGAGCATTCAGGTTTGTGGACTTTGGGGAGACAATACATTTTTGGGGAAATAGGATGTTGTACTTTTAAATTATAGGCAAATTTGTCAGAAATGAATTTTTTATTTTTTAATTCATTAATTAATTTAATTGATTGTCTAGAAAACTGTTGTGTTGGATCATTTGTAATGATTTTGTAAGTAGTATCATCTTTTAGCATTCGTAATGTAGTGTTAGTATAAAATTCTTTGTCAAGAATTACCGTCATATTGCCTTTATCTGCTGGACAAACAATTATATTATTAGATTTAATGAATAATTTGGTCTCCGCTATATCTTTGTGTAGTCTTTTAAGATGAATATGTTGGAAACTCTTATCAACTTTTTTTAATTGTTTAACTAGTTTTTCACATAGTTTTGACCTGATTCGATTTTGCTTGTTAGTCTCAATGTTCCTGATATTGTATTCTATGTTACTTAAAATTTTTATGAAGTCATTATTTCTGTATTTACTAGGTGCGTAATTGAATTTTGGACCGAGTGCTAAAATGTATTGGATATTTTTTGGAATGACTATATTGGTTTATTTTTAGCCATTTGTCTATCGAAAATTTAGAAACATGAAATTGAATAATTTTTATCTCGAATTTGTATAAGATTTTTTCAATTTCTGTGATTTGTTTATTTTTAATATATGAAA